ACCCCCCCCCCACCCCACACACAAAGAGTTCCTTTCCCAAGGAAACAGGGTCGGTGACTTGGCAGGATTCGAACCCCAGACCTCTTGGTTCTAAGCCGATTAATGCCCAGACGTAATAAGCTACACCAACCCCACATTGTCGTTTCTTTACAATCCAAGTTTAAAATTGCTGTTTTTCTATACCATTCCACGTCCTCCAAAAAAATGTCACCTTGCCTGATGCAGCATGACGTACTTGTACTAGTACGTGGCGAGGATCGAGCGTATGTTAGGTTTCGCCCCCCTCCCCCTTTAATTCAACGATATTCACATCCCGAAAATGCCTACAAATTATCATTCTACTGCGGTTCTTCTTCCACAGAAATGGTCTTAAACTATTCCAATGAACATCAGAATATTTTTCTGCCCGTTTCTAAGCCTTACCTGCTTCCTATGATGGTTTTTCTCTTCGCGTAAACCGGAACTCGGGCAGCTTTGTCCTTCTGTCGTCTCGTGAGGTCAGAGGTGAACGCCAAGTGGGCCAAAGGTGAAGTTATCGGCCTAATTACCCATGTAGTACATTTGATGTCGGGTGGCATGTTACGTTTTAGTTTCCTCACAATATAAACGTTTTACACACTTTTACAAGCACCAAAACGACGTAACAGCGCCCGATTTTCTTGTCCAGTATAGTATAATGTGAAAAGAAGATAGAAAATCACAGTTAGGCCTGTTTGGTCTGAATCGTGATTTCTTTGTCAGACCGTTTCCAAAATCATATCCAGTTGCTCGAGTAACTGCTTTTTGGCAAGATTTCTAAGTTCTGTGACCAATTGACAAACTCTATTCATAAAAAAGGCAAGTCATCAAAAGGCATTGTGTTTATTGTATTGAACTATTTAATTGTGTTAGTGGTAAATATATGTAGCTACATCTTCGAAGAGACAATTCTGCTCGTATATATTATATAACATAACGTCTATAGCTTTTCCCTCGTCTGAAATCACTTCCTTCAGTTGCTATGCTATCGGCTTTGAAGGTTTTACCGCAACCAAACGCTAGTTTTTACAGAGTTGATATTGGTCAAAGTTTTTTTTGCAGTACCTATAGGAAGATACTCCGTCAGAGTGAACTAGCACATTCATACAAACTTACACTAACTTCTACTTTTGAAATACGATAATTTACCAATGTTAATTACTTACTATGTACATGTATATTATCCAATCAATACCATCAAGTTCAGTGTTTTTCCACAATTCATGATAGATACAAAAATGATTTCTTTTGTCAAAAGAACTGAAAACAAAACAGAATATATGGGCTAATAAAGAAAACCAAGAAATGAGAATTATCATTGTACATGAAATAAAGAAGTACAAGACAATGGCATTTCGTTTGGAAAGAACTATTACCTGTTTGAAAATACATTTATTATAAACTTTTTAAGACTATTAAGCTCAAATGTTTTTGAATATTAACGTGATATATTCTTATGGTTGGTTTCAGTATGTCAAAACTACCAAGGAAAGATTGAGAAAACTAAAGGGCGCTATGAGATAATCACAGTTACAGAGTTGGTGCGTAATTGTGAATTTTCATATGTTGAGTTAGGGCTGACTTCGAGGTTGTAGAGAAGCTACACTGGTCACATTTGTAGGATTTTTCTCCTGTATGGGTTCTCATATGTCGGGATAAGCTGGACCTGTCACCTGTCCTGTACCCACACTCCCCACACATGTAGGGTTTCTCACCGGTGTGCTTTGTTTTATGATTATCTAAGGTGTCTTTCTGTGCTGCAGAATAGTCACACTGGTCACATTTGTAGGGTTTTTGTCCTGTATGGGTTCTCATATGTTGGGATAAGGTAGACTTCAGAGTTGCCCTGTACCCACACTCCCCACACATGTAGGGTTTCTCATCGGTGTGTTTTACTATATGTCGGTTTAAATTAAATTTCCGTGTTGCAGAATAGTCACACTGGTCACACTTGTAGGGTTTTTCTCCTGTATGGGTTCTCATATGTCTGGATAAATGAGACTTTTGAGCTGTCCTGTACCCACACTCCCCACACATGTAGGGCTTCTCACCAGCATGTATTTCCAGATGTCTGTCCAAATTAGCTTTCTGTGCTGCAGAATAGTCACACTTGTAGGGTTTTTCTACCGTATGGGTTCTCGTATGTCGGGATAAGGCAGACTTTAAAGCTGTCCTGTATCCACACTCCCCACACATGTAGGGTTTGTCACCGGTGTGCTTTGCTAGATGTAAATCCAAAGAGGACTTGTGTGCAGCAGAATAGTCACACTGGTCACACTTGTAGGGTTTTTCGCCTGTATGGGTTCTCATATGTCGGGATAAGTCAGACTTTTGAGTTGCCCTGTACCCACACTCCCCACACATGTAGGGTTTCTCTCCAGCGTGTTTTGCTAGATGTCGGTCTAAATGAGGTTTCTCCGAGCAGAATAGTCGCACTGGTCACATTTGTAGGGTTTTTCTCCTGTATGGGTTCTCAAATGTCGGGATAAGTTGGACCTTGCACCTGTCCTGTACCCACACTCACCACACATGTAGGGTTTCTCACCAGCGTGTTTTGCAAGATGTTTGTCCAAAGTAGATTTGTGTGCTGCAGAATAGTCGAACTGGTCACATTTGTAGGATTTTTCTCCTGTATGAGTTTTCATATGCCTGGATAACTGAGACTTGTAAGCCGCCCTGTACCCACACTCCCCACACATGTGAGGTTTCTCACCAGCGTTATTCAAGTTGACTTGTTGTGCTGCCGCCTGGTCTTCAACATTGCTTGTTTTGCTGTCACAGTCGACCTGGGAAACCCCGGTGGGAGACCAATCACAGGAGTTCTGACAAACTCCGGTGGGAGACCCGTGTCCTGCCATTGCCATGTTCATCCTAATGACAAAAAAATGAAGAAATTATACAGATTAAGCGTTATAAGCTGTCAATGATAAAATAGACTTTTATAGAAAACTAGCTTCAAAGAATTCTAACTTCACCAAGCTTTACAATTTAAACCTAAAACATTACAACGTAACTCAACATAATTCTGACGTGTTGTCTTTCTCTCGCATTTGAAAAAATTTGCTTCTATGTTGTTACAAAATCATAATTTGTGAGATCTTACAATCACTCACTCACACCACCCATCTCTTAAAACATTTTATACATATTATTTATTACTTCTACGACTACGAAATGTAAAGTACTTCACTTGGGAAGAAATAACATAAAGGCAAAGTACACTTTGGGGGGTCAAGAAATACAAGAAACAGAAGAGGAAAGGGATTTGGGAGTTATTGTGGACAACAAGTTAAGCTTCCATGCTAACGCAGCAAGTGCAACTAGGAAAGCCAACCAGATGTTGGGGATTATTAAGAGAACTTTTTACAACCTTGATCTACAAACAGTTCCACTACTGTACAAGGCTATGGTAAGGCCGCACTTGGAGTACGCGAACGTTGTGTGGGGCCACATTTCAAACAAGACCAACAGAGGATGGAGAAAGTCCAAAGAAGAGCAACAAAACTCCCTTTAACCCTTAGAGATATGACCTACCAGGATAGATTAAAGGCCCTT